TATATAAACTGCATTAAAGTAAGTATTTTGACCTAACCATGCAGAAACGTCGACTTAATTCCTCTTTAATTCTTTCCTTGGTTTGTTTCTTGACTTTCTGCTTTCTTGCCCTTTTCTGAGAAGTTTAAAAATACCCTCATATTCTGTCCATTTCTGCAAATTTTAACAATTTTTTTTTCTCTAATGCTAACAGAGAGCTCTTATTTTTGCAATTTTACTTCAACAAACAAAAAAAAATACTTAAAATAACTGAACCCCTCTTGATAATTTGTCTGATTGGTTCTTTTTATTGTTAAGTCTGTCTGTTTAATGGTATTTAAAACCACTTTAAAAAAATAATTTCCTGCCTGTTTTTCCTCCTGCAGTGCGTTTAAAGCRTGCCATCCTAAAGTAACAATGTTTTATTTTGCGGCTGAGAATCACGAGGACATGAACCTGTAAGTACAACCACGCCTACGGTTCTGTAYTTTAAATGTGTTCTCGATTTGAATCAGAAGTGCAGTAAGTTCGAATCATTTGTTCTTTTCAGATGGTTGAATAAACTCGGGCTAGCAGCCATTCAGTATGGGCGCACAGATCAGAGCCCTGCAGCAGGTATGATGTCTCTGTTTATCAGCTTTTAAATGGATAACACTTCAGCAAAGCAGCTTCTCACGTGCTTCTGGTTTGGAAATTAGCTTTCAGTTTGTTGGTTTTTTAACAAGGAAGCTTGATGCTAAGATGTTTGCATTAATTGAACAGAACAGAACTCAAATCAAACACCACACAGAAAGCCTCTTTAAACATGCTGTGAACTTTGCAACATGGCTGTTTCATTTTCAAGCGAACAGCACTAAATGCAGATGTGAGTGCAAAAATTAAGGTCAAACATCAGTCGCTTTGTGACCACATCTGATGAATCAACCACTGGCACAACTGCAGGTTAAACATATTAACGATCAAACATTAAAAGTGTYGTTTTTTTTGCAGCAGTTGCAATGACATGAGCTCATTTGCTATGATCACCGCCTTCTTGCACAGTGTTTGTTACATACTGTAACAGAATCTGATGAACAGGGCCTTTAAGCAACTTCCTGAATATTTTTGCACAGTTTTTTTTATTTATCTCAAATATAACATCTGTAAATATAATAAAAAAGAGAAAGGGGAAAAAAAGGTTTGAGAAGAGGCAGGATGAAGCAACTAGCTTAAGTTCTGTCCCTTTTTACATATGGCGGCTTGTTCACCCGCCCAAAAAAACAAAGAAGTTCAGTCATGTCTACTGCTTGTCGTTTAAACAAAGGAAAGTGTGTTTTCAATGAGACTTGGCTTGATTTCAGTGATTTTTGCACTCGGTTGGAAGCAATCCACAGCGGTCAATATGAAGGTCTCATAGATATGACCATTTCTTTAAAATAATTCAGTGTTCTTTTATTAAAATTAAATATTCTTTAATAGCTAAAATGATAGCAATAAAAGGTTTATATGTTAAAATTTCTGGGACTATTTGATTGTTTTAGTTAGTGCATCAGTTTGGTCTTAAATGTCATTCCTTATGGTCTTAAATTTAACTTAGTAAAACCTGCTTGAACCCTGTTTAATCATACATGCTCACATCCAGAGGAAGTCTAAGCTCAAGACWTATTTCTTTAGACAGCCTTTTTTAATACCATGTAGCTGTGGACATTTTTTTTCTCTCTTGTTTTTATGTTTTCTTGTGATGTGATTTTTACTGTAAAGTGCTTTGGTCACCTTAGTTGGTTGTTAAGTGCTATATAAATCAATAAATGAATTAATGAATTAAAGTTCAATGCAAGTTCAATTTGAAATGCGAAAGAGGCATAAAAAAGCTCAAATTAGCTGAAAGAATCTCAAAAATGTAGAAGTTAGCAGAAGGATGCAGAATTATATCTGAAATAGCAGAAAAAAAGCTAAAATTAGCAAAGAAAGAAGCAAACGTTAGCACAAAGAATTTAGAAAAAGCAGAAGACCAAGAGGTGTAAATTGCACCAATTATTTTGAAACATTTAATTGAGTATTAAGGATGATGAATGCCGCTGTATTAAACTTCAGTGAGAAAAAAGTAGCCATCTTGGATTTTATTTCCTTTTCAGCTCCAGTATATGACAGAGCTCACTCTCAGCTGCCAGTACACCAATTTTTATCTTCATATATCAACAACTGTCGTAGTTAAAGCCATTTGAAAAAAAAAAAGTCATCCTAACTTATACTTATCAATAATTCTGCCTTTAAAATTTGTTTTAATTATTGCACATTTTCTAGATAATGTAATTTAACCCCACATACAGAAATGCACTTGCTTTTAATAGTTTTGGCACATTGTTTTAAATTTAGTTCCCTCCTCAAATCATGACCCCCTTTCTCTGCTTGTAAACATCTTTTGTATATTGGCAGGCACTATTTTATTTAAACATTAGTTGAGCTGTTTTGAGTTTTATTAAACCTTCAAAATATAAGATGTGATTTTAAATGAATGATTAATTATGGATTAAAATGTGT